CTCCGGATGGTATTTGGAATGAATTGATTTAGCTGCATGTCAGTGCTGATGCGGGCCATCTCTTCTGTGCTCTGTCACTGCCTTTCTTCAAATGGAGAACATTTATTCAGACTGTGGTTCACTGTCTGTGCCAGAACTCTAGCTTCTTCTTCACTTTCACTTGCTACTGAATTATTTTCCTGCCTGTTGACTTGGCATAAACATGGATGCAGAAAAGCTGAAACTGCCAAAAGGCAAAGTTTTCTATAGAGGTCAGAACTGAAAGAAACTTGAAAGAACTGACTGAGTAATGCTCTGTAATCTTCAACAACTGTTGTCAAGGTTCTTTATCTAAGAGTCATCCAGCAGAGCTGCACATCAGTGTACACATGTAGAACTGTATGACCATGAATGAATTTGGAATATATAAAGAAGGTTTTACTGTTTTGATTAAGTCATGCTGATAAAATAGGTGTCTTTTACATCCACAGTTCTCCCATCCTTCTTGAAGACTCCCAAGGACAGCACCGTCCGCACGGGCCACACAGCCAGACTGGAGTGTGCCGCAGAGGGCCACCCGGCACCTCAGATCGCCTGGCAGAAGGACGGTGGCACAGATTTCCCTGCTGCCCGTGAGCGCAGAATGCACGTCATGCCCGACGACGATGTTTTCTTCATCATGGACGTCAAGCCAGAGGACATGGGCGTGTACACCTGCACAGCTAAAAACACTGCTGGCACCATTTCTGCCAACGCCACCCTCACCGTGCTGGGTAAGTGTTGCCTATATCTGACGTTTTGCCTTCCTGTAATTTACTTGCACTAACATTGACCTGTTTTAGACATGTTTAGTGTAACACATTTTTTGATCAGGTTCCCACAGCTCTAAAAATGAGTAGTTGGAAATGGCTCAGTCCTCAGCCGGGAAAGTCCGAGGTTGCAGAATGAGGGGCTTTATGTTTTTCTTTTCTCGCCAGCTGTGGCCTTGCTGCAGGTCAGGGGCCAGAGGTCACAGTTGGGGGTCAAAGGGGGATGGTGGGTGTGCAAGGGGGACTCACAGAAGGGTGTTTGCTTCCCCACCCCCCCCCCCCTTCTCTCTCGCTGGGAGGGACAGTCATGGCTGCTTCATGGCAGGCCTCAGTGCTCCCAGTTTATTGGTTGTTTTACACCGTTAAATCAAACAAACGGAGCTGCTCTCCTGTAACCATCTCAGCACATAGATCGCCTTTGTCCTTTGTCTTTGAACTTAGCAAAGCAGTCCCTTGATGGGCAGAGGTAAGAGAGTTCAGGTGGTTTCTTTGCTTTGTTAGCAGCCTTAAATTTCCCATAAAGAGCTCATAAGCAACAGTTTCTATATTTAACGTGGCCAGACTGGGGGTGTTGGTGTTTTAGCAACACATTTACAAATTGCACAACTTATGAGAGTCTTGTTGGACTTCACAGCAGTTCAGTCTGATTACTAATTCACTAAATAATGTAAAATATTGCAGCAAGCGACCATGCTTCTGCACTGAATCTGGCATGTTTGGGTTTGAGAGACGGAGGGGAAAGAGAGAGGAGGGGGTGGTGGCTGCTGTCGAGGGGCCCCTGTCTGGAAAAGAGTGGCGGGGGAAAAAATGAGAGCCAAAGAAGAGCTGGAATGGTTGGATTGTGTGGGGGAAGGTAGGCAAGTGGGATTTAGAGAAAAGAAAGGGGGAAGAGGGCAGTAGAGAGAGGAGGACTGATGGAGAGGGAGAAAGTATTGATAGAAGAGAGAGGGGCGACTGAAGTCGGTTAAGTGAGATCTCTTAATCTGTGTATGTCCCACTGTGATGGGAAGTGCTGAGAGAGGAGGGGCTACCTTAACACACACACACACCCTCATTCAGCTCAATGTGCTCCATTCAGCAGAATGTGAAGTTGGTGGGGAAACACTGAAAACACAGTTTTGAACAGGATTTTGTCCCAAGATCAGTGTTGTTTTGTATGTCATAATGAAAATGTGCGAAGTTAATAGATTTCAGAATTTGGAAGACTGTCATCATGAGATAAGATATCAGTGGTTGGATCTTGAACTCAGAACATGGCACTTTGTCCTCAGCCTGTCGAGCTGGATCACCAGGATCCCACAGTCTGTAATGATACAGTGAACAAACCAAGTTAAAGTGGCAATCTGAGAACAGAAATCGAAAACTTTGATGCTATATAATAACAATAACACAATGGAAAATGCTGACCTCAGGAATCCTGTTGTCTCCAAGCTTTTGATGAGAACCCTAACACTCCTGTGCTCCACAGAAACACCCCACCTGGCCCAGGACCTGGAAGATCGGAGCGTGGTGGTCGGGGACACGGTGGCCCTGCAGTGTAAGGCCCTGGGCAGCCCACCTCCCCGCATTACCTGGCTGCACAATGACCAGCCGCTCGGCCCCTCTGACAGACACCACTTCACCCCAGGGAACCAGCTGCTGGTCATCAGCGCCATCTCGCTGGAGGACGCTGGCCACTACACTTGCCTCATGTCCAACACACTGGGCACAGAGCGTGCTCACAGCCAACTGATGGTGATGCAGCGCCGAAGCCTCTGCACCCCGCCATCAGGGCCAAGCACAGTCACTATAGGTATCATTGTCATCGCCGTGGTGACAAGTATTGTGGTGACATCACTGGTGTGGGTGTGTATCATCTACCAGACCAGGAAGAAGAGTGAAGAGTGCAGTGTCACCAACACAGGTGAGCAAAAAAAAGAAAACCCTTTAAACTAGCAAAGTATATCTAGCTACGAGGTTATGTAAACATATGAGAATAACTCCTTAAAAACTTCTATCATAGGGTGGCAGTTATTTTATTGTTTATTTTTTAAATTTATTGTTTAGCCTATGAAAAAAAAAATCACAGGTTTTGAGAGCCCAGAGTAACTTATGCGGGTTTGTAAGTCAGCAATTGAGAGTGCGCAGGTGCGGAATTGAAAGCGAGGGAAAATAGAATCAAGGAGTGTAACAGGTTATTTGCACAAGGACCAGGGATCCTCCCTCTCGTGCTCTTAATGCTGAGTTACAAACCGAGTAACCAAAATTTTGGTGGGGATTTACTTCCATGCAAGTGTCTTGTTTTATCTAAGCAGCAGCTCAAAACCTAAAGATGTTTAATATAAAACTATAGAATCTGCACAAAAGCAGCAAATCTTTACACATGAAAGCCAGAGCCGGTATTTTCAATTTTGATTGATGAAACAGTTGAAGGTAGCTGATCGATTATCAAAATTGTGTTTTAATGTTGTGAAAGTCAAGTAGGGCTATACCTCTAACACTATCGTTATAAAGTTGTTTCTTTTTTTGCTAAAACATGAGTTCATGTCCTATAAAAACTAAAGAATTAAAAAACAGCACCATTTCTATTGCCAATAAAAATCTATCAAATCATTTCAGCTGTAGTGTTGCATTATGCACAGCCCTGATACTGATGTGTTGTCTTCAAGTCTTTTTGTTTTTTTGTTTTCTTCTCTGTCCCAGATGAGACAATAGTTCCTCCAGATGTGTCCAGCTACCTCTCCTCCCAGGGCACTTTGTCTGAGAGGCAGGACGTGTGTATCCGTGTAGAGGCCGGCAGTGGACCTCAGCCCAATGGACATGTCATAGAGACCACAGGTATCTGGCCGTTGAACCTCTGCTTGGGTTCTCTAAACGTTTGTCCTCCCCAGCAGTTTCAGCTGCTACAGAAGCACCACTGTCTGTGAAGGCCAGCTCAATCATTACAGCAGACACACAAACCACGGTGTTGTTCATTTCCTGCTGCACATTCATTTATTTTCTCTAGGGCTGCCCCCTAATAGTCAAAGAGTTGAGTCATTAGACGAGAGAGCCATCAGTCGAGTGTTTGTTTTTATTTATTTCTTTTTTTCAGCCAGTGTGCATTGCAGTAGAAAGTAGCCCCAGCCTGGTAGTTTGTCTTCTCCTCGTTTTGGTTTGCCATCTCTGTATCACACACTCACACACACACGCACACACACACACACATAAAAATAAAAAGAGATGCAGCCATAATTTTATCCCTGCTTACCTGTAGGCTTCGACGGTGCAGTAGTTTGTACAGACTGTATGGAGAATGACAACAGCTACTCCAGAGATCCTGACTACCTTACCCACGGATTTGGCCCTACTGGAGGCATGGACTACCAGCAGCACTCAGTTCCCCCACCTCACTCTCACCATTACCATCACCCAGGGGAGCAGCACAGCGCAGGGTCACACACAACCCTACTTTGCAACGGGACACCCAACAGGATCCAGAAGGACATTCAGGGATCTGCGCATCCGAGAAACCACAATACGTTACAACTGAACCAACATAATAGAAAAGGTATGACGATTAGTGTGAGTTTAAATGTCTGCAAGAAAGTGTGTACCTGTAGTCATCAGGACCTGATGTCAGCAGCCTTAACCCAAAAACACTAAAGGAATGACAGCGCCAAACAACCCGTTTCACTAGGAATATTATTTATACCAGGTGATTCCATGAGAAACTCTCAGCAATGTAGGTTCCCTTGTCAATGAAATTCCTTCGAACATGACTGTTGACTAGATTGGCCCCAGCCAGCATCTGACAGTGCATCATACACTCAGCCCCCTCAGGGTGTCTCTATAAACACTGATAGCAGCACTGACTTCTCTCTGCTGCTAAACTCCTGCATTTGCACCTCTGGTCTTGTTCTGGGATTCGGCATCTTTAGCCGGGGGTATTACTAGAAGAATTGGCCTCCAAATACCAATTCTCACCTCCACGTGTCCCATTCGACTGCCTCTGTGTCCTAAAGCTGAAAGCATATTTATTTACATACGTGTCGCACTGTTGACCTTGTTTGTTTCTAATTCCACCTCCTCCTCTTCTTTGTTCATCAGTGAGCAGAGCGGACCAGACACAAGCGAGCTCTCCTTCACAACAAGAGTCCTTCCACAAGCCGGTGAAGCTGGTTGGCGTGATGAGCCACAGCTGCCGTGACAGTGACTGTGAGCCTGAGCTCAGGCAGACTTTGCTGTCCAACGGACACACCCTCAGAGCCTCTCAGAATGAGAGCGCCCCCCTAAGGAGAGCCAGTGACTAGGAAGCACTCCATCAGCCCAAAACATGGACTCACAGTAGCTGAGTGGAATTTTATATTTTGCACTGGGAAATAAACTGCTACCTCATATCGAGGCGAACGGTCTTGAGCCCTGTGGATGTGGACTGACAGGGAGTGCCAGGAGGGGGAAAGGCAGGGGGAAGGGGGCATCCGGGGATTGAAGGTAGAGCTTGTGTGGGTGGCGTCCCATCTGAGCGTATCAGCTGTACATAGTTAAAAACCTTCCGTTGGGAGGTGACCAATACAATTTCTAGCTCCAAAAAATGTGATTTGATCTTGAAGCATGTAAATGTAGAGAATCTTGTACAGTTTATGTGCAGGAGGAGAAAAGAGAAATATACCTTTGGACATTGGACTGTACATAAGAGTTTTCTTATATAACTTTTACAAAGAGTATTTGAATTTATGTGCATGACAAAGAAAAGTGTGATGGTATTTTATTTTTTCTTAACATTCAGCTGCGGTGCCTTATTGCATGATCAAAGAAAACTCAATTTGTTATAGCATCTATCAAGAGAGACACCGTCTTTACGGCAAACACTTGATTTTTTCGAAAGCTGCCAACCGTGGCCTTACATAAACACAACTCACAATCATTTTTGTTATATGAAAAAAGAGCTTTGATGTCAGTTAACTTGGTAAGTCAGACGGTTCATCAGCGGGACATTTGTAAGTTAAAGCACTTTTTTTTTATTCTCACTTCATAAACATGCAGATTGTGCACACGATATTCTGCAAATAGGAATGCAGGAACCTCCTGTGTGTGTGTGGAGACATTCCTTATACACTGAGAGGACAAAATAGGCTCTTCCACCTGTTTTACAGTACTACATGTTATTGCAAAGCTGCTCTCCTCTTGCCTGGAGAAAAGATTCTTATGTCACCCAGGTTAGATTATTTGTCCAAGAAAAGGACTTTTGCAACTGAATGTGGTCAAACATCAGGTAGCAGCTGTTACTTGGAGCTGTATCAGTATCTTTTCTAAAGCTTGATTTATGGTTTTGCATTAAATCTACACAGAACCTATGCCATAGGCTGTGCAAGTTACCTGCACTGTATGGCCACCGAACCAACTCAGGCAGAATGAGGGGGATTTTCCAAACTTGTCTGGCCACCGAAAGACATGAATGAGGAAATGTGACGCAACCAATCGTAGTAGCTGTGCTCTGCGTCGTCACGATGTGCAGTTGCATTTCTGGACAGGTGTGTGTCAGGCTACAGCCTAGGGCATGAGGCTACACATTATCTACGGCGTAAATTCAACGTAGACCCAAAAATCACGCTTTAAACTATAAAAGCTAGTAATGATCTCAGTATGGACACAGGATGCCTGTCATTTTCAATTACGTACACTCAAGCGCTGACTGCTTTGATAATAGATTCTTAAGTTTTGAGCTTAAAAATAGGAGAGAGAGTCAGGGAGACTGATGTTGCATTGCCATTATATTACTGCTGTAATATGCCTTGACATCCACCGTGGTGCATTCAGAAGAAAATGGCCAGTATTATTGCCTCGGTCACCTCACCGTGCTGTGACAGTAATGTTTTCATCTCCACTACAGTTGAACGTTTTATGTTTGAGGTACCTAAAGGTGCGCCTTCAAGCTGTGAACAGCTGGAAAACTTGTGAAATGTGCTCTAACCAAACTTAATGCAGTGGCAGGCTCCCCCGAACACTCCTGGATACACTGGGTCAGCAAACAGAGTGGTTACACTCTAATGTTTTCATGTTTCCCCAGTGCACCCTCATCTGAACTGTGCTCTGTTACTAGTGGCCTTAGTAAGGGAAGCTGGAGGACACACAACTCTGGTTACACCTGACCGCACCTATCAGAGAAGATCTTACCAGCAAGACCAATCAGAGACCCCCATTAGGAAGTCTGCCCCACTGTAGCCAGGAAGATGGACAAGAGGGAGTAAGGTGCTGTTCATGTTCTGAGTCATTTTTAAAACAAACTCTGAAAGCGTTGCACCAGTGTCAAAGCTAAAACAGTGAAGTGTCTAACATGACATTTAAATGTCTAATAAAAATCACATTCTGCAATTGTTACAAGGGTTTTGTCTGTTTTCTTGCCTGTATAAACACATGAAAGGATAATATTTCAAACAGCTGAGTTAGCATTTAGCACGCTCATGTCACAGTGGTTATGGAGAAGCAATCAATTCAAATGGAGCATCCACAAAGACATGAAACCCAGAAACCACGAGCTCCAAAGCAGTCGAGTGGTTTGTGCATGGGCCACAAACATGCACACGCATGTATAGCTATGTTTGTGAGAACAGTTATTGACATAACGCGTTCCCTAGCCCCTAACCTTAACCATCGCAACTAAATGCCCAACTACAACCCTTCCCAAAAACCTAACCTGAACCCTAAAGCCAAGTCTGGACCCTCGAACAACTCTTTGAAGGGTTTGAGAACATGAGGACCGGCCAAAGTGTCCTCACTCCCATGGTTTAAAATTCAAACCGGTCCTCACACTGCTGGCCATACAAATACACACACCTCTTTGAGGGTTGTCTCTTGGCTTCCTGAAGTGCCACAGACAGAAGGCATACGCTTTCCTTCAGCAGGCTGTTTAAAATATTTGCTATAGTCAGGGCTCACTGAGGGTCAGTGGCTGTCCACAATGTGCATTCCAGGTGGATGTTTGTCACTGGACGATTGACATGCTCCCAGCCGTGGCCTCCACCAATCACACGCCGTGCATTGTTGTCCAACAGCCTAGTGACAAGCAGCATGACAAACACTCCCACCTGTGAGGCCATCTGTCTCCTGCTGCCTCTGCCAGGAACAAGTCAAATCATGAATTAAGTTATCTTGGATAAATCTAAATATAGGAAATCAATGTGGAAAGTAAAGTTTTTTACAGTTTGCTGTAGTGTAGAAGTCCCTACGTTTCCTGAACCACTGATCATTTTAAACCTCCGCAGCACCAAAGACCTACTGTATATGGCTATTCACTTATTAATCAGCTTGTCCCCTGCTTTTAATCAGTATAGTTTATGAACAATTCCTATTAAAGAGTAAATAAACTGCATGACTCATCCACTTATCTAGTAATTAGGTGAAGTACAATACAAGACTGCCAGCAGTCAGCCGATACAGCTTGGGGCTGTGTACCCGCAGACCGGTCAGGGCGCTCATGCTGGATATTGCATCCTGCCACACTGCAGAAATGGTTCAGGAATGGTTTGAGGAGCACACGGAGTTCAAGATGTTGACTTGGCTTCCAAATCCCCCTGATCTCAATCCGGCCAAGCATTTATGGGATGTAATGGGCAAACAAACCATGGAAGCCCCACCTCGCAACTTCCAGAACTGCTGACGTCTTGGTGTCAGACACCAGATGATAATTTCAGAAGTTTTATGGAATTCATGCCACAACATGTCTGAGCCATTTTGGTGGCGCAAGGGATTGAACCTACACAATATTAGACTGGCGGTTTCAATGTTGTGGCTGATCAGTGTGGCACAAACACTAATACAACGGCCTGTGGCTCTTAACTGGGGCCTTGGTAATTTAACTAAATGTTCTATTGTTGGACTCATCTGAAGTCTAAAATTACAGGTCTTATAGGTTGATGAGCTGAGATATATGCTCTAGTGGGAACATAACAGATTTGTCTCAACTACAGGCAGCCTGGCTTAACAGACAATAGAATATATGGAGAAAACTGCAATAATCACAAAATGATGCAAAAAAATACAGAGTGCAGCCCAGAGGGAACCAAAGAATTACCAAAGTTCACTTCAGTATAAAAGTCCGTCTTTAATCATAACTTATTATTCACGTACATTAAACAGTGAATATGCTGCATTGCTAGTCGTGTGTGGCTTTGTGTCACCAAACCAACAGAGCTGTTAAAGAAGTGAGACTGAGGTTGTTAAACTCAATCCAAAGGGCACTGAGAAGCAGGAACGCAGCACTCTGGGTAATGTGATCAGGTCCGTGAACAACTCTTACCCCATGCACCATGCACCATAGGGCCCAGGAGCATGGAGGCACAGGGGCCCTCTGGGAGATGAGGGTGCTGCTTTTAAACAGCACCAGAGATGCTTTCCCTGCTGCTCCTCCACCGGCCTTAGGACAGTCCGAGACCATGCCGCTATAGCAAAATGTGATGCACCTTGTCGTAGGCTCCCAGAAAGATGAAACCGCCGATGCTGATGAAGGTCATCCTCGGTAGGCTGCCGGCAAACAGACTGCAGAACAAGAAAGGAAAGAGGAATACATGCTATAAATTCAGCATTTAATTATAAATAACCAAACATGTTGATACTGGACAATCGATCATCATTTAAACTGGTTCCAGCTTATTTACTGTTAGAGATCATTGCAGAACAAGGAATTCAAAGGTGCCACCTTGAGCTCAGTGGGCTGTTTTTCAAAAGTCACAAGATTAATCCATAGTATAAACTACTACAGCCATAATTAAACTTAGTGCCCGTAGCCAGGCTGCTGTCCAAATGTCACTAGTGGTGCTAATTGCCCAGTCAAGTACCATTAAACTGCTGCAGAAGAAGAGATGATGGAAATAAAACAAAACCAGTCCAACCTCAAATGTCAAAAAAACAATGATGATGGAAATATGTTTGTTTCGTGTATTGTCAGGAACACTACAGTCTCCCTTTCCAGCTATCAAAGGCCAAATTTCCCCAAACATAGTCAGACTTGACACAGTCACTTCCAGTGATTTCAGAAGAGCCAGCTGAGTTTACTCAAAAATCACAGCACAGCTTCTGGTGGTTTAAGAGTTAAAGACCCTGAAAATCTACATGCTAAAGCCAAAAACATGAACTACCTTTATTTTCACTGGGGGTTTAAAAACAAGCAGAAAAGCTGTGTGCAAGGAGGAACACTACTTCCAGTCATACACAGCTTGGTGTGGTCCTTTCTAAGCACAAAGAGAAAACAAATATGTCCAGAGAAGAGACAACATGAAGGATGACAGGAATAAACCTGAACCTGGAAGCAGGGTGTTTGTCCCACAGCACAATCCCCCCTCTCCACTAAAATAACCTGTACACACACTGTTTCTATCATATGCAGCATTATTTTTTTTACATGGTGGTAGGAATTCTTTTGCTTTGCCTCGTGCGCACACCTGAACCTCATTTCAAGGGAGCGTTACAGGACAAAGCCGATTTTTTTCCAGCTGCAGATTTAACCACCTCCATGCAGAGAAGCTGTGAACGGAGCTGAGGGCGGCTGACGATTTATCATGCATCGTTCCTGATTACTAATATCTGCATGTGATTTGCGGCGCCTTTGTGGAAGCAGGCCCTTGTGTTGGGGTCCATGGGAGCGGGTCAAACGTGAGACCTCATTGGTGGAGCCACAGGAGTGAGAGTTAGTGACAGGGAGCTCTGGGCGTTGTGGGGGTCACAGGATATGATGGGCCATGAGAGAACACCCGTCTTCCTCACCCTCCCCGCTACAAACAGCTGTTTTTGGGATTAGACTTCAAGCCCCCACCCTAGGGCCTCCATACAGCTCTCACGCCCACCCTCCCTTGCTCTCTCTCTCTCTCTGTGTGTGACTGATGACCAGATGACATCTGCACATGTCCCTCTACTGCCCATCCATCCAGTTCTCTCCAGCTCCCTGTCCAGCAACCCCCCCACCCCTCCCGCTTCAGCTGGCTCAGTGGTTCGGGGATTTCTCCTCCACCTCCTTTTCTTGCTGCGTCATCCACTTCTCAGACACGTGCTCACTTCGCCCTGTCTGTTCATCTGCCTTTCTGTGCGTCCCTCTCCTTTCCCACCTCTGTCTTCTGTCTCTCTTGCTGTGTGTTTGCCTACCAAACACCTTCTGTCTGCCAGTACGCCCCCACACTCACATGGTCTGCACCGCTCCAAGCCAGATGTTATGGATGAGGACTATTGTGTGTTTGTGGATGTGTGCCAGTGTGTGTGTGTGTGCGTGTGTGTGTGTGTGTGTGTGTGTGAGAGAGAGAGAGTGAAGACAAAGTGTGTAAAACTGTCTGCGCAGACAAAATGTCTGTCTGCATCCATCATATGCCTGCCTGTGTTTTAGTACTTGTGTTTCTGCTCATTTTAATTCTTAAAACATTTATTAAATAGCACAAGATCTGGTTTGGTTTTCATCGGCTGTACATTAAACCTTAGTGCAGGAGAGCAGCAGCAGCCTTGAGAGGAAATGTGTGCATTATTACATGACATTTCAGAAATTCACCAGCTTCTTTTCAACTATTGTGCAGTGAGAATAAAATGACCTGCAGGTCCAAGGCAGGCCAAAGTTTTTCAAAGGCTACTTATCAACTTTAAGTGAGTAGGTTGGGCTTTTAGTGAAATGTCTCAACAGCCACTGGATGGATTGCCATTACATTTGGTAGACACATTCAGGATGCCCTCAGGATAAAGTGCTCCTTTGACTTTTCATTTAGCCTGATCATCAAATCAACATTTCACTTTGGGTTGTGGCGCCACATGTTTTCAACAGCAATGTCAGTAAATGCAGAACCCGTGACGGCTCGACACGTTTCGGTAGATTCATATAATGGAAAAGCCCTATGTTTCATCCAGAAAGCAACACATTCAATGCTCTTCAGCTCTTCCACTGGAAAGTCAACGTTTGGGCCACAAATGGCTGTACAAGGTGATCAGCATGCCAGAGATCTCCCAGGCATCATAGCACCCCAGGCCCAGGTTCACCGTCTCTAAAAGAGAAGGGTTAGCTGAACATGGCTGTACTTGGTGAGTGTGCAAAACCCCAAGAAGGTGCATGTGGGAGAGAGAATCCAAGTATGTTTGTGTAAGCATGGGCAGGTGTAAATGCTCCAAATAGATGGAGACATTAGTCAGAGGCTGTTTTGCTGCCCCTTCAGCGTGCTCTTCCCATCTCAACACTGCAATCTTTCACCATCTGCTGAAACACAATCCACACGCCTCCTCCAGGCTAACACTGAGTACTGCTTAATCAGGAATATTAAATATGATCCGCAGCCAATCAAAACCCAAAAGAAATCATCAGGGAAGAGAGGGGAATGAGTGCTCCTCACAGCTGGACAGCTACACAACCCGGCAGACACAACGCATCCTGACATATTCTTCTCATGTGGCGGCCTGGCTGCCAGCAGTGAGAGGAATGTGCTAATTTTAAACTCTTGTTTTGTCTCAGCTGCGGACTAGCATACGTTTCCTGTCTAGGATCAGGTCCACCTGTGGACTCTGAGATGTCAAAGCAGAGCCAGGGCTCAAATACTGCCCTCGGCTCCACGGGGCGTTCTGACTTACTCTGACATCACAGCCGCAGAGAGCAGTCATCCTCCGACTGTCTGCCAACAACTTCTCCTGAGGAACTGAACTAAATGTAGTTTCCAAGCCTTGACAGGAGTGTGTATGGGAGAAGAGTGGTGAACTCGAAGATGTTTTGGCTGTAGTTTTGAGAAACGGAGGAAGCCTTCAGATGTGCAGGAGCAGGAACAGTGCTGAGGTTGCAGTTCTAACCCGTGTGGGTACGATGCTCAGCTGAATCTGGGGTACATGGATCTCATTAAAGGCAGAAAACTGATTAACATGAAATACCAATGGCTTCTCCACAGCAAAAAAAGTGCAACTACAGTTTTTGCCAATGTAATTTAATATCCAAATTCTCCACATATATACATTAATATTTCCTGTGTTCTACTGTTACTGTAGTAAGAGTAGGCTTCACTGCCTTGCACGGCAAAAGGAAATGAATGATTGAATAATAGTCCACAGGCTGACAGGAGAAAGTTGCTCATCACTGTGTCATCAGTGCACAGAGCCAGATATACAGTGGGTACGGAAAGTATTCCGACCCCCTTACATTTTTCACTCTTTGTTATATTGCAGCCATATGCTAAAATCATTTAAGTTCATTTTTTTCCTCATTAATGTACACACAGCACCCCATATTGACAGAAAAACACAGAATGTTTGACATTATTGCAGATTTATTAAAAAAGAAAAACTGAAATATCACATGGTCATAAGTATTCAGACCCTTTGCTGTGACACTCATATATTTAACTTAGGTGCTGTCCATTTCTGCTGATCATCCCTGAGATGGTTCTACACCTTCATTTGAGTCCAGCTGTGTTTGATTATACTGATTGAACGTGATTAGGAAAGCCACACACCTGTCTATATAAGACCCTACAGCTCACACTGCATGTCAGAGCAAATGAGAATCATGAGGTCAAAGGAACTGCCTGAAGAGCTCACAGACAGAATTGTGGCAAGGCACAGATCTGGCCAAGGTTACAAAAAAAAATTTCTGCTGCACTTAAGGTTCCTAAGAGCACAGTGGCCTCCATAATCCTTAAATGGAAGACGTTTGGGACGACCAGAACCCTTCCTAGAGCTGGCCGTCCGGCCAAACTGAGCTATCAGGGGAGAAGAGCCTTGGTGAGAGAGGTACAGAAGAACCCAAAGATGACTGTGGCTGAGCTCCAGAGATGCAGTCGGGAGATGGGAAAAAGTTGTAGAAAGTCAACCATCACTGCAGCCCCCC